GAACGATTTACCTGAGAGTGAAATGAAAATGAAATGACCACAAAGTATCTCCCCGGCACGCCTCAGATCCTATTATCTATTCCTGTCGACTGTCACTATCCGGTTATCGTCGCTTTAATCCAATCGTATTTAACGCTGGCGCAGGCAGATGACGTTTTTCTGGTGTCCTTGCGTTGACGTATTACTTCAAGGCATCCAATGCGATTTCAGGGCAGCAAAACTGGTGATATTCTGAATAAGGCAATCTTTGTGATTATGACACATACTGCTTCACATTATCACATCTGAGGCAGCATTCCAAGGTTTGGGCATTTAAAACTGCAGAAATAAGCCCCAAGATGAGTCCTTTATTTCTGGGTGGTACCCTCAAATCAGCCCGCGGCCCTTCCAGTAATCATTTTCCGTCAGAATTTTGGTAATTTCTGCTCCATGAGGGTCAACATACTTTGGACCAGTGTAGTTTCAACTCACCATGTAGATAAATGACTAGAATATTGGCTTTAAAAAAATTGGTTTCCACGCCCTAAAAACTGCATTGGATGCCTGCATTGGAAGGTCCCAATTCTGGATTAGGCTTAGGTTGTGGGAAACAGGTGAAAGATCATACCGCATTGGGACTCTGGAATATTTGGCGGCCGTAGTAATGGCCGCTATCGGGAGACCTATCATGACGGGTGACTCTTTAATTTGGTTGTCCCACTTCCCACCCTAAGTACGTGGGGTAGTGTGGCGTAGAGTGCTCGACTCGGAATCAAGAGGTCCCGGGTTCGAGTCCTGACATGCCACCGATCTTGTGCCCTTGGGAAAGGCACTTTACACGACTTTCCTCACTTCGCTCAGGTGAAAATGAGTATTGTATTGTCCCCTGTGTTGGTGGCGGCATTAATATAAGTTGAAAAAAACTTGAGTGTGACGTCACCATGTCTTGTGATTAGATGTTTGAATATAAAAAAAAATACTCTAGCTACCAACGGGATGCATTAGAGATCAGCCAACGACGTTAAAGGCATCCAGTGCAATTTCAGGGCAGCAAAACAACGATGAAAATATTCTGGGTGAGGAAATCTGTCTGATATTGACATTTACTGCAATTTCTTGGCAGATTGTCCTCATAATTTAATACTTGGGGGGAAATGACCAAATAATACGATTCGTGAAGAGAATCAACGGCCCATACAAAACAAGCAGCCGTTTTCCGTCATCCTCCTTCGCAGGGCTAAAATCCTCCGGTTCCCTTCCGGTTTTAGCCCTGCTATTTACCGCTGACAGTTTGACTTCTGGTGACGTCACTTATAAATAATTCATGAGCTTGCCTTATTTGGCACAAACCAATCAGATGTCGGGGGGCTTGCCCTAACTCTGTCTCGGCTTTGGCCAGGGCTTTGGCCGCTGCTGGGAAGCCCATATAGCACAGGCTCTTCCCTCCTCCTGTCCGCACACTCAGAAAAACGTCTCTGCCATCAAGCAGCGCCCGTAGCATCGACTGCTGATGCTCACGAAGCCGCTCGACTCCAAATAAATCTTGCACGGCTCGCACGAAACTTCTAGTATTGTAATAGCCGCCATCTTGGCCTGTCCCAACATGGGAATGTAAGACGTAACCTGATTGGCTAATAGGTTCCCAGCGACCTTTGCGGTTTTTGCGCAAAGCTCGGTGCGCAAATTCTCTGATTGGCTGACAGCAGTTTGGCGGTGACGTCACCAGAAGTCAAACTGTCAGCGGTAAATAGCAGGGCTAAAACCGGAAGGGAACCGGAGGATTTTAGCCCTGCGAAGGAGGATGTTTTCCGTCAGCGATATCACATTTTTTTGTCTTACAGATATTAATATGCTTTTGGGATATGGTTGATCCAACGTCTTACAAATGCTAGAATGAACAGAAAGTCACTTTGAAAATACAGTTTTGCCGGCCTTGAAATTTCATTATACGTCTTTAAAAAAATGGAATTCTAATAACGAAGACAGTCTGGGAGAAGCTGGGGCGTCCAGAACAAGATGACTATCAGGTGTTTGCTCATCACGACGAGTATGCCACGAATGAGTGTTCGATGATCCAAAGTTTAGGATCGATCTGGAAGTTTTCGTATTTGTTTTGCAGCGATCAGTTCTGGACGTGTCTGTAGAGTGTGCTCATACTATATGGGATTAATCTCCAAAAATCTTTTGGTGTCTGCAAGATAATACTAAATTGGTAAGGCAAAACAGTGCGAAAATGGCAAGCCAGGCAGTATGTATTTGCACGGTACTCGTGTAGCTAGCCTAAGGGTAAAAAAGAAAGACAGATAGTGGCACAAAAAATAAGGTTCGATATGAATAAAAGCTGTAAAATGATTAAACATAAGCCAAAACCTAAACCTCTGTTTAGAGAGTAACTTGGCATGTGGCTACACAATATGTAACGACTACTAGTATACTACCGGTCGACCGTAGATATCTGGAGAAATAATCTTATTGTTCATGACGTTGTGATCAGGTCATTGCCATCAAAATGCAATGAGCACAAAATGGCTCCATAATGGTATCCAAGAAAAATCGCCCTGCAAGGAGAATGCAATGTTGTTGATCCAACACATTTGCCCAAAAGTAGATTCCACCAGGTCTTTCTTTTTAAAGGGGGTTCAGGATGGTAGAATTCTACAAAAAGTACGGTCTGACTGGCCAGGGTAGTAGTGAGTCCATTAGAGTTTCAAATATACGGTGGCTAAACTCCCCTGGCAAATAATTCGCACTATTTGGCTACCTTTTTAAAAAATCTATTTGTATTTTCCAGAACAAAATAAATAATCATTAAAGACATTTAAATATTTGGCAAAATTTGGCTAAATTTTACAGTTTTTTTAAACGATTTGTTAAGTTCTGGTTGAGGCTAGCCCGAAAGAGGATCCAAACTTTTTCGTTAAGGAGAGATAACATTCTGAAATGATTCTGTTTTGCTCAGCTATAAATGTTTTAAAAATGGGAGTATGAGCCCCTTATGAAACAAGACATGGTCTATATTTGGCTAAATTTTACTGTTTTTTGTAAAACACGTTAGCCTGGTGGAGCTAGCCCCAAAGAGCATTCAAACATTTCCGTTAAGGAGAGATAACATTCTAAAATGATTCCGTTTTGAGCAGCTATATGAAACAAAATGTTTTTAAAAATGCCAGTATGAGCACCTTATGTAACAAGACATGGTCTACAGTTGTACTCTTTTAACTTCAACAAGTTGACTTCCAGCCTTTTAAATTGCCAAAACGTATTGAAAAACGCGAGTTCTTCTTAGGTTCAGCAAGTTCCAATTCTGTCTTGTCAAAACAGATCTTATCACTGGGTTCTTGGAACATTGCCGCCTGACAAAAACGCCCGCCGTTATTGGAGAGTTCGATTGCATTTAAAGTGGCTAATCCACTCGCTACAAGCCTTTCCTCCCCCGTGATTTGAAAACGTCCTCTGGGTCGTAAGGACCTCACTAAAGCGGGTGGATACTAATCAAGATGGCCCCGAGCCACTAGGGCTAATTGAATGCCCCATCTCGCACTTAATGAACGTAAAAGCAGCTCAGGGGGAAAAATGACAAAAGATTAGTTATTTTTTTCCTGGAAACACCCCCAGACAATTCTGCACAACATAGTTTTTAAGGTTGTCGTATATTTACTTCATTAAAAGTCAAAACACACTTTGAAAAAGTCTTGGGCGTTACAGAATATTGTGACGCTACCAATGAATGAATGTTGATGCGTCTGTTATTAAGACCTTAGTTTTAAACCTCAAAGTATTTCTAGCTCCCTGTTTTATATATCATATCTGTGAACTTAAGTAAAATGCTCATATACTACGGTGACAATTTCTTACAAGTACCAAAGGTAGCTCCTGGAAAACACACACACATTTTTTGAGTAGCAAAGTTCTTTGATCACAACCATTTATTTTTCTATTTTTTATTTTTATGAGCCGACATTTCGACGACCGTCTGTCATCTTCATCAGGACAATTCTGACTGGTTTGCTGTACACTGACGCTAGATGTTACTTGGTGCATAGTGCACTAAATGTGTCGCATAGTTCACAGTGCACTGTTACTTGGTTCACAGTGCGCTTAAGCTAGTTTTTTTACTGTTAACAATGCACACACATATTTTGCCATTGATTTGTGGAATCAGCCTGAATTAGCATCCCATGCTCGACTTTGCGTTTCCCTTTCATCTAAGGCCACAGTAAGCTGTCTAAAAGCGTGTCTTCTTGTCGTTAGATGTGTAGTTTGTAGTGGGGACAGCATCTCTCATCATGTGAAGCCGTGGGGTAAGTAAGTATAACCCTCCCAAATGAAAAACAAATCAGCTCGCAGCCAAACTTCACAGATGCACTAATGGCGCCGACCCCGGCGGAAATGAGTTCCGATTTCTTCCACCAAAGATTTATCGCACTTCCAGCTGTCCGATAAGAAGGTCGCTGTTTCTTCCTGAAGCTCAGGAGAGTGGAAGATACGACATCCTCTGACGCAAGACGACGACATAGTCTTCTCCTTGGCGCTGGAATTATATCCCTTTCATCCCTCAGCTCTCGACGAGAGTTCTATCCATAATTTATCGTTGAAAGTTGACAACTGCTGTTTTGGTATCAGATCTAAACTTCCTAATGATCTCGGCTCCGGAGTCTCTCTTTGAACAATCGCAGTTGGTACCTCAGAGGATCGGAGCCAACGTTTCCAGGAAATATAGTAATAGATGGCATCCTAGGACTGGTTGATAGGTCACCCTTGTGTCAGATATTGTCCCAAAATTAGGACAATAAAACTCCCCACTCATTTCTCAGTGTCGTTTCTGATTTCCTCTTCCATTTGACTGCATCCCAGAGGGCTGCCATGGGGGTGGACGACATCAATTGTGAGATGATGAATCTTCTCATTAGCTGGATTTTTAAAAAACGGTATGACGTCGACATGACGTCATCACCACGCCCACATCCTCTCCACCAGTTATAAGTACTTGAGAATCAACTCTACTCTCAGATTGCACAAGAATCCCCTCAGCAGCCGTGGGCAGTACAGCTTTTTGCAAACGAAGTAAGAAATAGCCACGGCCTTTTATACCATATTGCTTTCAAAAGGCCAGTCTCCTTCAATTTACGTTTCAGCCAGATACGTTTGTGCCTGGCGGACAACCACCGGTTGATTCCCCGGCTTGTTCTTCGCGTGAGGATAAATCTTCAGTGCAGCTCGTAGCGACGTGCGGATCCGCCGTCTCAATACATCACACGGGCGAGGCAGCGGAGGGAACGATTGACGAGGTCTGCTGATTCTGGACAAGTTTGTGAACTGCAAACAATCGGTACGTCCACTCGGTGTGGTCCATGTCATTCAATTGATACTTTTTATGATTCATCTTCATGGCTGGTCGTAATGCCTCTACCGCAATCTTTCTTGCTGTTGAAATGTGTCTTAGGCCATGTTTATGTTAGAAAAATATTTTAGAGTAGAGGTTAAACACCATGGTTATTATCTGTTAATCATGAGTGCGATAGTTCGTCTTCATAGTCATAGTACCTTACTGTTGTCTTTCTTGCTGTTGACATGTGTCTTATGTGAATCTTAGGCCATGTATATGTTTTAAAAATATATTTTTCACCGACAGTAGAGTTTAAACACCATGGCTATTATTTTAATCATGAATGCAGATTCTTCATCCGCTTTTTTGGTCATGCAATCGATACTTTCTATAGTTCTTCGTGGCTGGTCAAAGTACCCTACCGCGGTCTTTCGTGCGGTTGAAATGTGTCTTATGTTTATCTTAGGCCATGTTCATCTAAAAAAAATCATTTTCGCCGAAAATAGCGTTTCAACATTATGGCTAGTATCTTTTAATCATGAATGCGGATTCTTCATCCCCTTGCTTCTTTTTGTAGTTTGTCATGGTCATGACATGTTGTTGTACTCTGGTCTATACTATGATGTGCTATATGGTCAATATCAGTTGGGAGTTTGACTCTAAACTTTGGTAGATTTGGCACAGATCATCCTAACGATTTTCTTGAATTTTGCAAAAAATGGTCCATTCTATAGTATAATTTGATAATTCCTTTCCAAGACTTCAGCACAAGACAAGGCATTATCAGTATTGATGTTCCGTTTTGACTTTTATTTTTTTTTAGTTCTTAAACCATGTCTTAAACCATGTCTAAACCATGACAGTCTTAAACCATGCCTAGCAAAAGAATTGTCTTAATTGTGAGGCTGAATGTAAGTGGTCATCATGGCTTTGACTACTTTACAGTGTTCATCTTTTGCTTAAGTGGTTTCTGTATGTCTTGTGTAATAGGTTAGGATGAGGTATCGGATGATTTTATTTTGCCCCATAAAATCCGCATCTTCGGATCTGTACATTTCGCAATCGCCCAAACAGGTTAAATTCTCTCAAACACATACATTTTATTCCCTTTTTTAAAGAATCATTCTTTTAAATCGCTCTGATTACCTCATGTGTCGGACGACACGGAAGCTCCTAGACTAACAAGTACAGCAAAAGAGCAAGCATCCACAAGCTGCGTTTTGCCAAACAAAGTTTTATAGTGATCTTCGGTTTTTTTCCTTTTCTTAACCAGATAGAATTCGCTTCTTCGAATTGACTGTGTATCAAATTCTCTTTAGTAGCATCTCCTTCTGATATGAAATGCTTGATTTGAGGAAGCATGAGCAATTCCATGAACTATCAGAAGGAATATGTTTTTGATGATATTAATTCTATATATTAGGCATTGCCTAAGATTACAAGAGGATGTGCATGTCAAAAGGATATTAATAAGTACATATTAGGCTGCGCACATATGTCAGTAGATAATACTTTAACATTCATGTATACCTTATAGACATGACTTTGTGATGCCATCTAGGTCTAGAAATACCTAAATGTTATGATGTATGTTATCATGTTTTATGGTGATCTTCGGCTTTGGTACTTTTTTAACCAGCTTATATAACTAGTATCTCTTTCATCTATACCCCAAGTCTCTGGTATAGTTGGGCACAATTTAAGGCATCCAACGCAGTTTTTAGGGCTTGGGAACCAGATTTTTTTTACTTTATATTCTAGTCACTTATATACACACTAAGCTGAAACAGCATCATCCCAATGTATATAGACATACAAGAAGCAAAAATTCACAAAATTGGGACGAAAACCGATTACTGGAAGGATCCAGAGATGATTTCTATGGTACCACAAAGAAAATAACGGAATCATCTTGGGACGTTTTCTGCAGATTTAAATGCCCAAAGTATGAAATACTGATTAAAATGTTCATATTTGAGGCAGTATGTCCTAGTATCAAAGAGATTGCTTTATTCGAGTATCTCCAGTTTCACCGCAATGAAATCGGATTAGATGTCTTTCGTAAGACAGTAGAACATAACACCATTGCTCTGCCCATAAATTCTTTCCAAACATCTTTCAATTTTATCTATATGACATCGACACGAGTACAATTGCGAGACGAGTGGTCGATACTTCCCGAGGAGCGCTCCAGAAATAGGGAGAGTTAAAATAATCTTTATTAGGTTTTCACAAACGTACAAGACGAATAGTTAAAACAGCTAGGTCAGCCTCTTATTATGAGTAAGAAACTCACGGGACGCAAGGTAAGTATGCGTGCATCGGACTATCTGGACGCCGAAACTGCAGTTCAAAAAGGTATAATCAATATAATAAAAGTTACACAATTAATATATTGCACTGATTGACTAATGCACTGATTGACTATTGCACTTCTTCGTGCAGCAAGCTATTTACAACATAAGAATAGTCCCATGTTTTTCCCAACCAACAGTGTTCCTTGCACAGTAAATGACATATGAAGCACATATTGCACATTTGCCCAATCTGATTTTCAAGTGTCGTCCTTGTGGTTAACAAAACATAGCGATTTCAACTTCGAGGTGTTTTCCTCACTTACCCACCCTTATACTTCCTACTTCAATCGTCACAAGAGTAGCTTCGTAGCTGCTATGACTGCGAATTTCATTCAGCAAGTCTTCCTACTTTGTCCTTTTTCTGTGTGCACTTATACTTAAGCAGTTGCAAGCACAATTGTCTACATCAGTGTGGTACCTTCTCCAACGCTCCTGCTGTTACAAAACACAGCGTCAAGGTGTCTTGCTGCTACAATCGGAGATGGATTATTGAATTATCAATACCTGATTATCTAGCACATTTGTTCTACATTTGTAGTGCCTGTAAAAGATAGCAAAAAGTAGTACTAATGTTTTTTTTCTTTATATTCTTAACCCAATAATATTTCATATTATCATACTCTAGAGAAAATATGAGCTAAGAATGGAACTCATTTTTTACTAGGAAGAGAATAATTTTTGCTTCTTACTAGTAAAATAATAAGTTAACACATTTCTAGCTTATTTCTTAACTCAATAGCTACCTCTCCAACGAAACCTTATACAGACCCCTGTGCCTTGCTCGTATCAAGAGAGTGATATGTAAAATGTTTTCATTTGTGATAATGACATTACATTTCTCGCTCTGGTTGAAATATGTCTCTACTCTTATTACAATAACCAGACACGCGATCATAACACTGTCTCATATGGAGAACCCTTGTGGCTTGAGTACCTTTTTGGTGCGTGGCAGTAATTGACCAAACAGAGTGAAGAAGCAATTGTACCAAGCAGTTTCTCCGATGTTATCTTTCAATCGATGTGTGTGAAATACTTCTTTACCTGCTAATCTACCATTTGATGTCACACGGCTCGTAAAATTCTCTTATCGTCAGATTTTAGATCTCAAGATGTTTTTGAATTTCATGTTGCTTCCAGGTATCTATTAGAGATATTATCAAACCTGTGTTGTCGATAGTTTATCCGGTATTAAATACAGCCTTGAAAAAAAAAACTAGATTAAATGGCTGATTTTTCCAGACGCCGCCCCCATATTCTGCCTATGATACTCATTTGCACCAACACTGAAAGTGAGTATTTTTGTACATTTTGCGTAAATTATAATTTTTATTGCAAAAGAATTCTTGTCTTCTTATTTGGTCTGCGCCTCCCTTTATAGTCTAGTCTTTACCAGACTCTGTCGGATGCTGCAAAAAAATAGATTGCGAAATTGGCCAAATAGCTAAAATGATTTACCAGAGAATTAAGCCGGCCATGGAGTCATTATTTCCAATCTTCGGTCGAATGTCTTGTTGTTCAAGGCGAGCTCAGAAATATCCAAACATATCTTTTTGTGAATATATTAATATATATCCAATTGGCCGGGGTGTATCCATTTGCCACCCGTTCGGCTATTACAAAAAAAAAAAGAAATCCCAATAGAAAAGTCTAAAAAGACTTAAAAAGCCCAGGGCTAAACCTTGCTTGGAGAATAAGCTTAGTCCCTCAACCTGATGATTTTTACATTTTACGGGAGGTCAGGGAGAATCCACTTGTCTCTAGGGACGTTACTTGTACTCGTAACACGATCAATATGAGTAAAAGGCCTTTATTGTACTTATGTTCCTACAAGTACAGGTTATGAATTAACAGGAAAAATTACAGTAATGTCTTGATTTAATTTTTATAGGTTCACTTTCTTGAGGCAGTTGTAGATGTAAGAACATATGGAGCTTATGATACGTGGTTTGTCAAGTTTCATAAGGAATACGAATTTTTTATGTCTAAAGCTGGGGAACTTTATATAAGTATAGCAGGAATCTCTCATTTCTATATAATGTACAATCAACTACTACAAAAACTCATCCCCGATTTTATCTAAATCATTCTTATCTTAGCCTTGTGTTATTTTTTGGTTCCTATAGATGTTCCAAAATTTTCCTCACCTCATTTACATATCAAGATCTCAGGCTGTTGAGAAATACCTGTTCATCTACAGATTTGGTTCGTGAGAAAAGATGAAAAGTAGTGAATGGAATTGGAAAGTCTGGCGGTTTTGAAAATCTATCCAGTTGCTTGATTAATGGCCTAGCGACAATAGGAAGCTGGTGGTAACTACGGAAGATGGCACCCAGGCTGCCGAAACTCCACGGAACTCAAGAACTCAGTACAATGGCGACTCATAAAAGGCTGTAAAAGGCCAGCATGTGCCGGTTATTCGTAAAAGTCACAATGCGTTGCCGCAAATTTTATGATACCAGCTTTGTATTTCTGTTGTTTAGCAGCTTTTTGCTTTTTGGCTGGAATTTTTTTATTGGCCCGCGCGCACTTGTTTGGCGGTCTTCAGTGGGTGCCTAACCTTCATCGACGCACGATCGACATGGTTGTCGTAGTCAGATTCCCAAAATGTAGGGCAACACTGGCGGCATTGCCTTTTTAATCATCAATGGACACCGTTGAAGATGCCACAAAATGACAGCTTTTTCATTACTCGTCGACCCAGAAATCACAGCTAATCAAACTTTATCAGTAAATGGCCAGCAGGATGTGACGAGGTTAACTCCATAAGCTCATTATATGTGCTAATGTCCCTGTACTGTAATCCTTGTTAAGTGAGGCAGAATAAGAGAGTTACAAATGACTTAATTAACATGTCCTTTAGAACTGGATCTGAGGGGAGGTCGAGGATTTCTTGGAAAGGCATAGACAGCGTAATTGTTTTTTTTTCATAGTTGTTTTTTCGTAGTTGTGCCATTCAATAATTCCAATGTGAAGAATCTTCAGATCTTGAAGATTTAGTTTCTACCCTCCATTGCTGGATATTTTTCACAAACGCACACATAAACTATCTAATCATCCTCTGGAACCAACCACCATAGCCAAAATGCTTTCAAGATAGCAAGCAAAAAGTATTTGTTGACCATTTAGGCTGTAGTTTTTTGCATCACCACTGTTTTAATTGTACAGCTATTTATGTATTTCGATGTAATTTTTTGCTTTTATTTTTCCTCCTAACATACTAAGTTATATTGTTATTTGTTTTGCTGTCATTTGCCTAGGTTATGGATTGTAGGTATAAGAGATTTCTGTGGTTTGTGACTTTATTGTGTTATGATGTGTGTATGTTTATGTATGTATGTATTTCATAATGTTGGGCCCGACATCAGCTGCAGCTGCCAGGGCCTTCCACAGTATTGCAACGTTGGCACTTTTTTAAATTGTTGTGCATAATGTTGTGCATAATGTTTGTACTGTGTGGAGCACTGCATAAGCTGCATCTGCTGCCTAGTGCTCCACGTGTATTCCCGTTGCAATTTGAATACAGCAAGAAAGAACCATCCAATTGCCCTCCTAGTGTTCCTTAAGTATAAATAGAGCTACACACAAATTCATGAACTATGTTTCCTAGAACCTTCCACGAACAACTATTAATTATTTTCTGCACGAAACTGCCCATACCCATTAAACCAAAAATCAATGATTTCAAAAACGCTTCTTCGCCTTCGGTCATATCTCACAAATCACACTTCACTTGAGCAGACCACTTAATAAAATGCCCTTGTCTCACTGACATCCTGTTAGGCCACACCAAGTAAATTTTATGGATGACGTCCTTTGGAGACCCTATATCTAATGCGAGAGGGCGAAAAAAAACAAGAAGGGCCCTAAAAAACAAGATGCCTAGATTAGAAATATACTAAGAGACGACAAATGTTAGGACACAAATTGAATGAGGTGACACAGATTAACAAGCAAGAAGTCTTTTATTCATCATCAAAACAGCAAAAAATCAGGTGGAACAGCAGTTGTCATCCTCTCCTGTTTCTTTCACATTTTTGCAGGCCTGCAGAAACAAAGCACGTGCTCTTTACACATTTCGCGTTACGGGTTTCACGTCAATCTAGCGATTTGCGGCACTGTTGTGACCCTTTGGTCATAGTTACAGGAAGCGGAATTTCTTGTTTTTTTTTCTAGCAACAGGCCAAAATCAATGCACGCGCGGACGTCATCCATAAAATTTACTTGGTGTGGCCTTATAAAAACTAACAAGAACTCTCCAGCCGAGAGGCAAAAAAGGACGTTCTGAATTTGTTGTTGGAATAATTTTTCTCAATCCATACAGCTATTCTTTTTGATGATGAGTATTACATATTACATGTCTGCGGAACAATGCTCCTGTGGCGCAGTCAAAGAAATTTCTCTTATTAATTGTTGCCAATATCTCAACCCGTTCCCTCCTACTAATGGAACACGTTATATAAGAACGTTTCCAGACTTCTGTGAGCACATTCTTTGTAGTTATACTGGACATAAAAACCTTGAAATAAAGATCTATATGTATCTTCGTGTCGACTTACCAAAGCCCCTGTAGAGCGAGACCATGTAATTGGCAGTTTTCTTTTATTACGGTCACAAAAGGGGTTGCAATAGAGAAGGTTGCCAAATAAAGATTTATATTTTGGCTTTATATTCTTCTCTTTAAATTTCCAGCCTTACGGGAGCTAAGAGAAAGTTTCAGAACCTTTGTTCTTTATTTCTTTACTTCTCACATATTGTGCACATTCATACACTGTTCCCCATTGTTAATTTGGCATCCAGCTATTTATCAAGAAACTATTAATTTCAGTGTGCTAGCCAAATGTCGTGTAGAATATAATAACTGTTTCCACATAACTCTTAGGTTCCCTACAAGCTGTAGTGCAAGCTCAATGCTTGTTTATCTCGTTAATGACGCATTCGATACCAGGCTATGCTACGGGTTACATACCAAGAATAAAGAATTTGATAGAGACGGTGGACGATATAAACTCATCGACACGTTTGATCAATTTCTTAAGTCTCGTGTGAATAAGGTCACGTATCGGAAGTGATTGGTCATTATTTTATACGTATCATTAATTATCCTGATGAAGGCAACAGCGGTCGTTGAAAATTTGACCTCTTTGTACTCGTTGTGTAGGAATAACGTTCAACATTTTACTGTGATTACTAGTACAGATTAACTTTCATGATAATTCAAGAATAATTGGATTCAATTTTTCCCGACTGTAGTTACGATGAGGACGATATCTGTATCAGGGGCGACTCTGCTACTGGCTGTGGCAGTCGTGGTGAGCTCGCAAGGAGTGGCGTATGGATACAACTGCAAGTAGGTCTTCCAGTTCCATTGGTAGTTTTATGCTTGAGATAAAACATAGTCCCTGGTTTCTTTCTTCGTTTTCTTCTTTTTTAATTTACCTGTTGTTTTAACCGTCACGTCAAAACGTTGGATTGCATTGTAATTAGCCACAATTACAAATTATAATGTTGCCATTCCGCGCTGCAATTTTATCCAGTTGTATGTGATGTTTATTTGCCTTGTTAAAATCGTGTGTTGTATTGTTAACGATTAAATATGTAAATATTGCACAGAAAATGCAGTGGAGGAATACATTCAATTTGTCATTGCCCTCTTTTAGCAACGAAAGAGATAAGTCATTTGAAATGGTAACCAAAACGTTCGCTAGCTTTATTCACCTTCCCAACCTACAAAAGCTGCATTTCTATTATCACCACCCAAACAGTACATCTCGCTAAACGACGGACATTTCATACTCCACTGCACACAAAAGAAATAAAACCCAACAATAACTAAGTTAAAAGTAGCATCAGTAGTATCATTTATGGTCATTTTTACTGTTTACTATTGTTTTATCATGTTCTATGCCATCGCAATCAGCCCTCGGGCATGAATTTGCAATAAACTTTCAGATTATTTGCAACTAAACTTGACAGGCTAATTGTGATGGGGACAGAAGTAAACAGACGGCAACGCATTAACAGAACCGTTTCCTTTCAGCAAAAACTGACAATCATGAGCTCTTTAGAAGTTTGAAACAGAAGATGTCAAGCAGGCACTTTAGGTAGCAAGAAGACAGCACATCCTGACATTGCCGACTCACTCAACAACCTAAAGCGTCGTTTGTGATGAAATTGATGATTACAGGCTTTACGCTACCGCGGACAGGCGCTGCAGATATGCACAGATTCATGTTTAAACAAACCAATTGTTCTAACTTGTTGATATTTTAAAATAGACTGATTCTACTTTTTTTCAGTCTGTACATCGAGGTGTGTCTGCACAATTGTGTTCAATGATTGCAACATACTACAACTTATAGTTGGCCATATCAGGAGCATACTATTGTCGAAGAATTTGATGTTGTATGACTAACTTTAATGGTTCTACTTTCTCTACTTACACCCTTTGTCACACGTAGCTGAATGTGACTCCCGAACACTGCCGAACTTCCCCAACTAATGTCCATGGTCAGGAGAAGGTCAGCAGCAAGGTCGGTTGTGGTTGGCTGGTGTTCGGCCAGATCAGCTACTGTTAACTGCACAAGCAGAAAGTTTCGAAATGTTTAAAACATTTGGGAGTGAACGGGGGTCATGGTTGGGCACTGGTTGATTAGATGCAGCTAAGCAATGTTAGGGCGTGTTCGGGGGTCAAATTTAGCAGACATTTAACTCAAATTTGATTCAATCCGTATACAGCAGTAGGGGTGGCCGAAATCTGGTCAGACTGCTCCCGAAACTCAGTCAACCTTGGTTAGTTGGTGTTCGGTGGAAGGCGCTGTATGTGTGACAGGGGATTTAACGTTGTAGAATTGAATGGTTATAGAATGTATAAACAAGTGTTGTTGTGTTATAAGGGCCACAATTTTATGGATGACATCCGCGCACGCATTGATTTTCGCCAAAAAAAATCACCTCCTCCGAGGCTCTGGTCTGGGTGTCATCCTCCGTAGTCCATGGTAGCAATTGAAAATAGGTGACAACTACGGAGGATGGCACCCAGGCTGCCGAAGCTCCACGAAACTCAAGAACTCTGTAGAGTGCCGACTCATAAATGCCGCAAAGGCCAGCATGTGCCAGCTTGTCGTAAAAGTCGCTTTGCACTACCACAAATTCACAATACCAGCTTTGTATTCATGTGATTTGGCAGCATTTTTGGCTGCAATTTTTTATTCGCCCTTGCACATTTGTTTGGGGGTGGGGTCTTCTAGGATGTCATCTATAAAACTAAGTCAGTGTGGTATAACGTGACAATTTGTACTTTTTTTTATTGTCATTATTTATCAATATTATTGGTTAAATTACTGTTTTTTATTTATTATTATTGCTATTATCATTATTTATTGTATCCCAATTTTACTGTTTGTATGTGACTGTTGTGTTTTGTTGTGTAAAACAGGGCCCCACTGAAAAGAAGTGCAATCACTTAATGGGCCACCCTGTATAAAATTGACGGAAAACAACAACAACAACAAAATAAATGTTAGCACGTTTGGGTTTTACCACATACACAGCCCACCGTGGAGCCGGAAGTGCGCCTACACCGACACCACTGGCATGGGCAGGCGGGCGATGAATAACAACACCGCGGCGTAAGTGATTTCCGGATAAGTAAATTACAGACTCACTAAGATGTCTCCATCTTATCCTTAGGACCGGAACTCTCTCTTTTCTCTCTCTATCTCTCTCTTACTGATAACGTTATGTAACCTGCGGTCTCTCATCTTCCTTTGAAGATGATTGGACAGCAGTGCTGTGTCCTTACATGGCACTTGTGCGCAAACTAGCTTCCTTTCCTAAGTACCTAATACCGGCAAAGAGAGAACAAGGCATTTTACTTGGCACTTATGCCCAAACTAGCATCCTTTTAGAAGTACCCAATATCAGCTCAGAAAACAACAAGACATAGTTATGCCTTTCAATATCAGCATCAACCAAGGATTGAGGTGTTCAAAAACTTATTTTCCAAGAACTATGATAGTAGAGTGAAACTCTAGCACTTCAAGCAGTTGGGACATCATCACTAGAAAGCCTCAAACAACTCTAGGCCTGCAATTAGATGTGCAACGATTGGGTGTAACAGGCCATTCGGTGTAATATAGCTAGCTGCCTGCGAAGCCGGTTTGTTTTGCCGAAGGATGGTTATACCAGATATACCGATACAGATATACAGATACAGAGTTATAAACCGAGGATTGGTGTGGTAAAATCTCCTTTTCTACCATAAAGTGGAACTTGCTGCAGCTAAGTACATTTAGATATCTTCATTCCTCAAGCTAACCGACATCTCACACACACAGTCTTTCTTCACACAGTAAGACATATGTAGCCGCATATTTCCCGTTTAGAACTTTTATTCACTGACAGCCTGTTGCACGCGAGTTTGGTGTAATATAGGCTATAGCCAGCTGCCGCATCCCCTTCTTACTAACGGTAGGCTACACAATTTTATGGATGACATCCGCGCACGCATTGATTTTCGCCAAAAAAAAAATCACCTCCTCCGAGGCTCTGGCCTGGGTGCCTAAGAAGTAGTTCTTAGGGATGACGTCCTCTGGAGACCTCAAATCTAATTAATGCTTGAGCGCGAAAATAAAAGAAGAACGGTAAAAAAGCTAGATGCCTAGATGTGAAATATAACAATTTAAATGAGAGAACGCAGTGTAACACAAAAAAGTCTTTTATTCGTAATGAAAACAGCAATAAATCAGTGAAACAGCAGTTGTCATCCTGTCCTGTTTTTTTTTCACATCTTCCCTTCTCCCACTGCCGTGACTCTTTGGTCATAGTTACAGGAAGCCGGATTTCCTATTTTTTTCTTTGAAAACATGCCAAAATCAATGCGCGCTCGGACGTCATCCATAAAAAAATTACTTGGTGTTGCTCAGCTAAATTGAAGTATTTGAGCTGTTGCAAGAAGCCTCCCCGAGGCGTGCCATATATTTGATGAACTGATCAATACAGCAAACGTGCAGATGCCTGTAAAACTACCTAAAGTAATCCCTTAAATTGGACCGGTAAAGAGGCCACGTAGATAGCCTAATCCCCCAAATACGAACGTTACATACAGGAGATGTTGTCGGCTCGCGTAGGCGTTTTAAAAGGGTTGTACAACTTAGACATATTAGTGGCAGATACTGGTCATTTGTCAACAACATTTTGAAATGGGAGAGTTGCTTTTTAAGTCGTGCTCTAGTAGAAATTCTTGATAAAAGGAAGCCATTGTGTCTTTAAGTGGCTAGGAAGACTATAAGAAGTCTTATTTTAACGGGAAGGCTTTGTTATCAATTCAATATAAGCTGCTTCTTTTTCACTCCACACTATTCAAAATTAACTAACGTTACGCATCGGATGTCATTTGTCTGTTGCCCACCATTTTTGTTTCTTGACTAAATGTAATGCAATCTTGTCCTGTGTAAATGTATGCTGGGCACCACTGGAAAGTAGCTCCTACTAGCTGCATGGGGTTCCCAGCCGTTTTATGATGAAATGAATAAAATAAATTCTATAAACCCTTCAGCTCACAGAAAGTGTACTGGTTCCCAAAGTTACAAATTCCAACATGTGTATCGGCACTATTCAACTGGTATAACCGCCCTTCGGCGTAACCCATTAGATTGTCTCCTTGCAACGCAACGCATCGCCTTGGGTGGCACTCTCTTAGGCCTTCACTTCTCTAGCACCTTGCTTCTCCACTAACACGACATTTCCCACTTGCCGTACATGTAGGTACATGTATGCTGCATCAACTGTCGTTTGGTTGCTTTCTTTCGTCTCACCATTCCTCTCGTTTCTAACACAACACTTGTATTCTAACTTCTTTGTATCTGTACAGCTCAAGATCATGAAATTCTACGTGCCTTATGTGTTTGTTGCAATGTGGTTTTAGAATGTACTATATTTGAATAATATGTGAATAAAATAATTCTACTAACACACCGTGACAACTTACAGGTTCATTGATCTTCTCAAGTCGATGTGCCAAAATCTTCGGGCAGATGTAAGGACCTGGGTTGGTCTCGAAGTTTCAGAATATATTTTTTGCGACATTTAGTCCGCATGTCTTGTAGTGCACCTTTATATAAGACCTCCTCTAAGAGAAAGGTTTAGAAAAGTTTGAAACATCAAATGCAAAATACCGAGAGTGGGCCAGATCTTACATCTGTTTGGAACTAAGATGTGCATCATTTGATGCCACTACTAACCACATGGAAATTACTTTTGACTTCTTCTTCTAACACAAAGTCTCTAACATATTTCAGGGACGCAAAATATATAGTATCATACTACAATTAAAGTTCTTTTTTACTAACGGTTTCTCTGCCTTTGCTTTGCCCTGCTGCCACCGCTGCTAACAGAACACCGTGGAACGAAAATTGTCAAACAAGTCGGACAGCAGACTTTGGGAAGAGGGTTCCTGCCTCACAGCTGTCTCTCAGAGAAGTACTACAGTAAGTACAACCTTCGGGCACTGCGGATGTTTTAAAGGTGCCCATAGCATGCCCGTAGCCAGGATTTTGAATGGGGGGGGGGGGTTCTTCCCACTGCTTGAGGGGACCTCGAGTGTCGAAGGCGGAAAATTTTGAAAAATGAACCTTCTAAAATGGCATTTCCTGCGTTTTTTAGAGAATTTCCAAGAAAAATCAGAGATAAATTTTTATTCAATAACAAAGGGAGCAGTTTTTCTAGGATTCCAGTCCATATTTTCAAGAAAAATCTTGGACCTTTACATGAAAAGTGGACCAAAAAGTGGACCTTTACAAGACAAGTGGACCAAAAAGTGGACCTTTGAGCCTTGTGGGGGGGGGGGTTTTCTTCCGAACCAGACTTTTCAAAGTCAATATTCTAGTCACTTATCTACATACCAAGTTAAAACAACACTGCCTAAATCTGTATGGACATTTGTGGAGCAAGAACGCCGAACATTGCGACGGAAAACAGTTACTAATAGGATCCTGGACTGATTTTAAGATACCAGCCAGAAAATAAAGGCTTATCTTGGTGTTTGTTTCTGCACTATTTTTAACACTGAAAGTATGAGATACTGGTGCAAATGTACTAGCTTGGCGAGAGGCAGTATGTGTCTATATCATACAGATTGCCATATTCATGATATTTCCAGTTTTGTCGCCCGTAAATTGCATGCATTGGCTGCTTGAAGCTCTTGTCACACATAGACAAATATGGTCTTACAAACACAGTCTGCCGAACTCTCCACAACCATGGTTAGGAGTAGTTTTGGAGAAAGATGGGCTGTGGTTGACTGGTGAGGTTGGCTAGTGTTTGGTGAGGTTGGCTAGTGTTCGGCTGCGCCAGCCGAATGTTTGAGAATGTTAAAAACTTTCGGTAGTGGACGGAAGATTCGGCAATGATTTGCTGGTGATGTGACAATGCCTATGTACGTAACAATTGTTCGGAAATGCATTGTTAACAGTGAAAAAAAATTATAAGTGCACTGTGAGCCAAGTAACAGTACACTGTGAACCATGTAACACCTTTAGTGCACTATGCACCAAGTAACATCTAGCGTCAGTGCACATTAAACCAGTCAGAATTGCCCTGATGAAGATGACAGACGGTCATCGAAACGTTGGTTGGTAAAAAAAAATAAATGGTTGTGATCAAAGAACTTTGCTATTCATCTGTTTACCAACCTTGTGAAGTTATTTACGGATGATTTGCTGGGGTTCATAAGTAGGTCAGCAGTGTTTAGGCATGTTTGGAGTCACATTTGACTCAAATTCAACTCAAATCCGATTTGTATAGAAAGGTAAACGTCGCTTAAATCTAGACAGACTGCTCCCGAACTTCAGCCAAGTTGATTCTTATTTGAATAATGGTCGGGGGAAGATTCTGAATGTGTGACGGGCCCAATTTAAAGGCACGTACACACGTACCAGTTGTTATGTAATTCAAGAACTAGAAACTCAGACACCGGAAAAGAGCCCTTAAAAAGAATGGGCGTATGTTGAAAATTTCTCCTGACAATAACGTTCTTCATATCAGTTATTATCTGGATAATACGTGTAATTTTCTAGAACACCGGATGGGAGTGCAGGAGAAGAGAAGAGGCACGAAAAGGCTTATACTAAGCCCTCTTCTATAACATACTAATTGCATTGAAACCTCAAGCCTCATAATAGCAACGTAATAGTAGTATAAGTTGATCAGACAGTAGTTGTATTCTCTCTATTGCTTCTTCACTTTCTTAGCTTTGACGCTGTACATTTAATTATCCTTTTTTTCCAAATAATCTTTATTGTAATTTCAAAGAATAAAGGCAAAGGACATGTTCACATACAAGAAAAATAAATACCCAGAGACATTTTGCAAACAATACATCAGTCTAACAATTTACCATACAGTGGACCCCATTTCAACATATGTTTATCCATTTTCTCACAGTTTTGTGCTATCACATATCCTAATTTGTGATAGTGTTTAACATAACCTATGAAGCCCTTAATCGTGACAAACTTAATTACATTTAATTATACTTTGCCGGCATGATTTGCAAATAAAGAACACTATAAAATCAAAGAAACCAAATACTTCTTAGATATGAAAAAATGTAAAAAATTTAATTCTCTTATTTTTCAAATTGATGTATTGCCCTTTTCTTCACTTTCACACAAGAACCTAGTTAATACATGGATTCTGGAGCTAACCATCACAGACGGACCTGATATCATCGTTCTTAATTAGTATCACTTAATATGATACATTTTGGTTGTTGATTGCTGCTAATGGTATACGAATGAATAGCTTCATGCTTGCGTAAAATAGATTAGTGTGTGTGTGTGTTTGTGTGTGTGTAAGTGTGTGTGTAAGCGCGCGTGTGTGTTTAGAACTGTATGTATGTGTGAGTGTGTGTGTGTGTGTGTGTGTGTGTGTGTGTGTGTAAGCGTGCCTGTGTGTTTAGAACTGTATGTATGAGTGTGTGTGTGTGTGTGTGTGTTTGTGTGTGTGTGTTTGTGTGTGTGTGCGTGTGTGTAAGCGCGTGTGTATGTTTAGAACTGTATGTGTGTGAGTGTGTGTGTGTGTGTGTGTGTGTGTGTGTGTGTGTGTGTGTGTAATTTTTGCGCGTGTGTGCGTATTTATTACACAAAACCATGTACAGAACTTAACATGCCGTTGGCTACCTCTGGCTGTTGATAAAGTTTTAGAGGATTGTCTGAATTTTGTATTGGAGAATAAATACATTAAATGGGTGTATCTTTTCGAGTTTAGAGTGATGTGGAGTTTTACGTCCGTGC